GAATTCACTTAAAATTATTTATTATAAAATTATATTATAACCCAGAATATTCAAATACAATGCAATTTTTTTTCGCTGTTGGATTTTGCTTGGCAAACTTTCAGCTTAAATATTTTTTTTTAAAGTCTCTCAAGCGAAGCCGTGGTCTAAAAATGAAGACCACAGTCTCCCATAACGCATCGCATCGCATCGCATCGGGAGCGACTGTAATGATTTATGAGTGGAGCACATAAACCAAAAATAAAACCATTCGAGTCTGTTTACCCATTTTCAATTCAGCTCAGTTTATCCGGCTGCCTTTGGGAAGAGGTGTGCCAAAACTTTTGAACTTTAAGGTTTAATGGAAGCGCTTGGCAGGATCTGAGGTTCGTTTGGCTGGTGTTGTTGGCTCTGCACTTGAACTTCGCGCATTGGCCACTTGGCATGTCCCACTTGACCCTGGGCGCTTCGTAAACTGCAACAGCAGCAATTGCAGTTGCAGCTGGCATTTGTTTAGCCCTTGGCTGCGGCGCATGGCCAAAACGTGTCCGGGGCCAAAAAACTATTAGCGTCCAAGTACCAGGACATTGGACATGGGACATGGGCACAGCTAATGGAAATGTTTATGGCGTCTGCTTAATTGTGGATCCATGTGCATGCTAAATGCTACGGGCCATTCAAATGCCATAACCGGGTCTCTATTCGCCCGTTGATCCAAATGCCACGGCTGCTGCTGCTGCTGCTGCTGCTGCCCAATCTAAATATATAAATCAGCTTCGAAAATTTGTTGTTTATAATTTGCCGACGCGACAGCGCTAAACACATAGCGGCCAGTACAAATAAACAATGTAGCTAAATCGTAAAAATCGCTCACCTGAATCATCTCAGCTCCATCTCTATGTACTATTGTCCATTGTCTATCTCGTGCCGTTGGCATCGTATCGAATTTTTGGACACATCTCTTGCTCATTCGGCACTGGCACAAGATCAAAAACAGAAATCTATAGAAACGTATGTCAGAGTCATTTGAATAGGCCAATTAGAGAGATACCCTGTACTAAGTATATACTTATACTATATATGTATATAAATTGCTGTGGATCAGAGTTAGAATATATATTATATAATTTTAAAATAATATTTTCGGTATTTTTATTACGAGGAAAATATATCTTTATACTCATTTTAAATTTCGATTTATAAAGCTATTTGTTTATTGGCTATAGTTAAGAAACTTATAAATCATGATTCATTTATTATTTTTTTACGAACATATTTCAACTTTTAAATTGATAATGGCTAAACCACGTATTTATATATTGTTTAGTGATCAAATATATGACTTAGACTGGCGCAAGCCTTATGCACCCTACATAAGCCAATATATTTTAATATGAGCAATAACAAAAAGTGAATCATCTGTGGACTCCTGCGTCTGCCTTGCTGTTCTTATGTATGAAACTAAGACAGCTACTTAAATTTTTACTACTTAAAATTGTATATGCAAATAAAACTGTAGCACGCGTGGAACAAGTTTGATTTTTAATTTTCGGTAGCTTGTTTATATTAGTATTAAACCGATAAAAATGGTTATCAAATTTCGTTTTAAAGGCTTAATTTTGAAAGATTGTTTATAAGCTATAATAAAACATATACAAATATACATATATATTTATATTATAATAAAACATATACAAAATACTGTTTTGTAGGAAGTTCCGGCTATCGACCAATAATTCTATTTTTTCTATATCTAATATTTTGCTTAGATCTACAAATTTTTTTTTTTCTATTTTACATAATTTTCGTTAAAAGTAAAAATGTTTTGATATAAATATAATTAAATACTTTGCAAAGGATTACATCAAAATCTGAATGGATAACTTCATCAATTCTAATGAAAGTCTCCTCACAGATGTCTTTTGTAATTACAAAAAGTCATAAGTTTTAGTAATTAGAAAAAAAGTCTTTTCGTAAGCAATTTCATTTGCAATTGAACTGAATCACAATTACTTTCTTTTTACGTATGTAAACAAGCTGAAACTAGTTCAAGTTAAGATAAGCAGACTGAATACTTGATTAATTGCCTGGTAATGAAATGTTTTCGTTTTTCTTTCCTTTGATTTGCTCATTTCGAGTTTGTGTCTTCCACTAGATTATGGGTAAACTTTGTTGGCTCATTAACCCACCCACACGCGCAGTATGGATATCGATGTCAATATGTTCTGAATTCCATTTGAGCTTCCTCCATATTCTATTCTCATTGTAATTGCGGACTAGCGGACGGACGGACAGATGGAGACCTTTAAGTATCATCAGCCCGCCTGGCTACTGAGCTAATTTCGCAGCTAATGCTAACGAATAGCTGTCATTTAATTTCTATGACCCATTAATTTTTATAATGCGCATTCGTTAGGTTTTTTTTTTTTATCCGCTGCATGTGACTCTGATGTAAGCTACAGCTGCACAGTAGCCGCTAAAAGTTGAGCATCATAAGAGCAGAGAGATGGAGAAAGAGAGACGGAGCCGTAGATGTAGAGAGTAAGATTGAGTGAGATAGAAAAAGTGATAGCGAGAGAGGGAGAGAGAGAGAGAGAGAGAGAGAGAGAGAGGGAGAGAGAGAGAGAGAGAGAGAGAGAGAGAGAGAGAATAAAAGATTTCGAGAGGAGAAAGAAAAAGTAGAGAGAGAGAGAGAGAAGGAAAGGCAGAGTGATAGATAGTAATATAAAGAGAGAGAGAGAGAGAGAGAGGGAGTGGGAGAGAGAGAGAGAGGGAGAAAGAGAGAGATATTATATCCGACATAAGTATTTTTCACAAATAAATATAGCCTAAAACTGATTTATGGCAAGTGCATCGATTGGTAGGCGAGTATGTCACATAGACTTACATCTACCCTGTATATGTGCACAAGTGGGTATATAGCTTCAAATTGCAATGACACTTCCCTTTATTCAGTCCTCGTCCTCCGTTTGACAAGCAACTTTACAAAGTTAATTACCTTTCAGAGAATAAAGGTCGAATTTAAAGAGGCTTACAATGTGATTAGTTTAGACTCTTCCTCAGTGAGACAAAGTTCAACTAATTAAATGCAGACACCAATTTCTGACTCCAAGGTGCGATTAAAAGCAACAAAGTTCGAGTCCAAATGGAATTTGAAGTGAAAAGCAAGCGTTGCGACGCGTCGGCAAAACTTTTCGACAAGTATTGCTGGCACGAAGCACAAATCAAGCGTGTTGAGTGGTGTTTACAATACCCTGTAGGCAGAGGAAGTTTGTAGAAAAAGGTATATTTATATGTAGGCTTTAAGGGAATTTCAATAAGAGAGCGAAAGCGAAAGCAGGTGGGAATATTCTAGTTAACTTTAAATAAATGGAAGAAAATTGTCTGAAAATTAGTATGTAATAACAGGAAGATAAACAAAGTGCTAGACAGAGCTTGTCACTCGTGATAAGCTCATTAGCTATTTAATTTTTTAGTGATATTTACAGTGTATTAGCTAAATTAGCACTTTACATTATTCTTCTTGGATCTAGGATCTGCATGTCTGGATTTATTAAGTTTCTGTGCAGGCTCTCATATTTACACAAGTAAACAAGTATTTCCATGGTTTTTACAGGGCATTAATTAGTCGTTTTATAGTCTAGCTTAAATTATGTGTACCGCTTAGAAGTATCTTAGAATATTAGTAAAAGGTAAATATTTATTATTTTTGTATATATACAGGGTATTACTTAGCTGAATCATTTTCTAGTCCTCGTCTTCGTTTCACTTCATTGAGTGGTGTGTTTTTTGTTTGTTTGCGAGTCTCCATGCGGCTTTGTGTAGTATTTAAGGCTTTGTGCACACGCGTCGAATGCTTAATATTAAACAGAGCCATGTGAAGCGAATGGCCCAAGCGTTTTGTTTGCTCTCGACTCACGACTCTGCTGCACTAGCTCTATCTCTCTCCCCTCTATCTCCCTTTCTCTGCCTCTCTGTAACTACTCAACACTTTGGAGCTGCAGTCTGACATTTGCTTGACTTTATATTTTGGTTTTGTTTATCGCCTGACTGCTAAATGTGATGGAGCTGTCGATACCAGAAAATAGTTGAGGCAGGGCGGTACGGGGCGGGGCCCCAGCAAGGCAGAGCACACATACAAAGCCAATCACCACAGAATACCAAAGTAATGATGCTGAACTATGAGAGTGGCTTTTGTCTTCGCCTTCATCTTCGTTGCACTGAGAGAGCTTGTCCCATAGGCCATTTGTATTTGCTCTATTGTTTCGGCGCCTTTTGAGGCTCAGTCAAATTCAGTTACAGATGCTAGATAATAGAATTCGAATTTTAGTTAAATATAAGCAATTTGCGTAATGCCTAGAAGAATTTAAAGTTTTTTTATTTTGACAATTTAAAGAGCTTAATTCTATATGAACTCATTTTTTTTTATATGTATTCATGATCTCATTTAAAATATCAATTATTCACATAT